TTTGTAGTTCCTGATTAAATCAATAAAATAAATTCACGCATTCATTAATTTTTTGAGTCACCCTGTATATGCAAATCCAAAAAATATGAATGGAATGATAAATCACAAGTACAGACTCTTCATAGTTTGTACATTTTAGATAGGATTTATTTGGCAAACTTTTGCTGACGTCATCAATTTTTTGGAGGGGACAAGTAAATATATCTTGACTAAAAATTTACCATGCTTATCATGACTGTAAACCATCTGCAAGATTTCAAAGCATTCGGTTTTGAAGATTTAAAATTTAATTGCAAAATGTTGCTTTATAATTTTGATTTTTTTCCAAAAATCTGGACGTTTCGGGTAAAAACTCAATTCGGAGTCGTAAACTACATGTGTAGGACTATGTTATTTTATACAATTTAAAACCAATTTACTGAAAGTTTCAGTTATTACGCATAATTCCTAATCTTTCCGGTTATTATGCATAATAACTGACAAGTTTAGTTATTACGCATAATTTCTAAAGTGTCTAGTTATTATGCATAATAACGTATTTCGGATATTAGCTGTAACATATATAAGAAGAAATTCAAATTCTTAACGGACCTTACAAACAAACATGTAGCACATATTGACGAAGACAGCGTTGACTGTGTTTTACATGAGGACATCGAATTAGGATTGAAGAATGAATGTATACAATTTAAGGAATATTTAAAAATTTCTGCTGACAGCTCAGAAACGTACTGTAACATGTTCAGATACACTCGACTGCATTTTAAAAAAAAAACCTTATTGATATTTTTCCTAATCTGTACACGGTAGTTATGATCTTCTTGACACTGCCAGTGACCAGTTGTGAAGCTGAAAGAGCTTTTTCTAAATTGAATTTTATTAAAAATAAATATAGATCGACAATGAAAAACGAAAGACTAAGTTCTTTGTCGATGCTTGCAATTGAGAATGACATCACAAGGTCAATTACGTATGACAGCGCCATACGAACGTATGCTGACATCAAGTGCAGAAAGAAAATTGTTATATAATTTGTTTCTGTTTGTTTATTATATTTTATTTTTGTATTTTTCCTATTGTTTTTTTTTATATTAAAGTATTGAAAATGTGTAAATTAAATGCTTCTAAGAAACTTCTATTCATAAATAGGGCCCCAATTAAATAATAGCATCAGGCCCCCAACAGTCTAGATCCGCCTCCGCTCAAATGGAAATAAGATCTGGTAGAACGGCCAGGTTAGGGCGAAAATATCAGACACAGAGTCACCCACTTTCAAAGCGTTATGGGCTTAGTGGGACTCCCTGCGTCTCGAGAATGGATTACTTAAGCGAGTAAACTATTTAGCACGTAAATTTCTATGGCCATCTTTAAAAAGAGATATTGTATGTTAACAAAATTCCTGAACACGTTAACCATAAATTTTATTAAAAGTGTGAATATTCGTTTAATATTCCAACAAATAATTAACCTGTATTGTTAATAACAACACATTAGATAGTATGTAATACCAAAACTACTATTAACAAAATACTAGTACATGATGAAAATTTTAACACAGCAATTGATAAATTTAAATTATTGGTTATTGTGCGTAACTTTCCCATTTTACGTGTATAGAAAAGTAATGGCATTCATTTTTACTCAGTCTCTGGTATTGCTACAGATAAATAGGGAAGTAAACATAAAAATCTGTTTAAGATAATAATTCTCCTTTTTTTTATCATAAAACTAATATTGATTGTCATTATATCTAGCCCCTGAATTTTTTTCTGCGAGTGCCTACTGACTCACGAGCCTATATTGGAATTTTTATCACGTGTATAATATTAAGTTTTCTCTTATACCTGTTGATATTTCATTCAAAAATAATAAATTTCAGATTAGGACATCATTTTGTCTCACATGTGTGTAGGGTATGCAGTTAGTGGGCGTTACTATGTTAGCACTGTAAACTGACAACTGTGAATTTTGGAAAAAATATATCATTTTCACGTAAAAGTCGTAAAAGTTTTGTAAAAAAAATGGAAATTCCTGAAAAAATTTGTGGAGCGACAGTAAACGACTTCTAACGATGAGATATATGACAGAGAATAGCAAGAGATTTTATCGAGATTTAAGTTTAAGTGAAATACTGGACTCTTAGCACCCTGTATTCCATTCAATGAAATGCTGATTCATTTTAACACCGCTAAACAACGGTAATAATAGTAGCTAGACTATAAACAGGAGTAAGAGAAAAGTTTTATGTGCGTAAAAATTAGTGTACAATATCAGGTGTGTGTGTGTAGTAAACTAAAATTATCCAAAAATTGCAAAATCATGCAAGATTCCAACGAAATTATGAAAACTTGCTCCCAGAAAAGAGCAGAGATGTTTATAAGAAAATGTATCAAACGTTCCTTAGATGAATAGAGCAGCAAGGCATTGGAGCAATTACAGAAATGGTAATTCTAAGTTATCTGTAAGATCTACATATATTATAACGTGTATAGCTGTATAATAACATTAATAACTAATAGTATTTCCAGATTTATACATAATATCCAATCTTGTGGTTCCCACTGTGTGAAAGTTTCGCTTTAGACCCGAGTGCATACTTTTTTTTAGTTCTATACGTTTGAGAGTTCGGAAAATCAAAAAGTCATTGTGAAAGGACAGTTTGAAGTGTGATGGTTCAATTCGACTGTGTTTTCAAACAAATCCCCTGCAAGAATTGCCGTTCCTTGAAAAGTATCTTGTGCATCGCTTGTTTTTTCAAAATGGAAAATGTGCACTCCACTCACAAAGGTTATTATTATTTTTTTTTTTTTTTGAAAACTTGAATCGAGAGATGAATTCCTCACTTCTGATTTTGACAAAAAAAACATCAACTTAATAAAAAAATTTGAACTCAATTTTGTGTGACGCACATGACATTGAATTGGCATTCTGCCTAGTGTTTGTATACGTAACTTATATATAATCTAGACGTTAAAATAGTGACATAAATAGAATGGTTTTCCAAGCACAAATAAATACATGTTGGAATTCCCATAGATAAATGTGTTGCGCCAATCGTGTCTAATAATAACTGAACCTCTGTGTAAAAATGTTTGATAACATGATTGTATGTTTCGTTACGCAAAGATAAAATGTGACTTTTTAGGGACGATTTTTGATAACAATATGGCCTATGCTATGCTATCCGAAATCGCAATATTGATCTCAATTTTTAACTCTTTGTAACTTCAGTTTTTAATTTAGTTGTTTGAAAAGTGTAGCAGAGGGTCAGTACGATCTACGCATTATTTAAATCTCTGAAACTCTAAATTTTCTAAAATAATACTGATAGACTGATAGAATCCCTGACAAGCTTCTTCTGTTAAATTAGGTTTTTAATTTGAATTGGGGCAACGGGTTTTATTTTCAAGGCCATATTTTCTCCACACCGGTACTTTAAACAAAGTTTCGTTAAATTCGTTTAGAAACAAAGAATTATTGTTATCAAAGGAAACACCGTGTAGTACCGAAGGAGTGAAAAAAAGTCACTTTACTTACGACTTGCAGAAAGAATTTTTTCACATTCGTAACAAAATCAAAAACCACCTACTTCAAAAACTTTTTGTTTTGGAACATAGATATTAAATGTAACCGTACTTGCCGTCTTGACAATTTCAAGGTGCACGAGAAATCTTCACCGCTGTCCGATTCCATTGTGTAAGCACACAAATTACCACACAACACTGAGCAAACTAAAACGGAGCACTTAAATAAGGATTAAATTAGAATTTTTTTTTTATTCTTATTTTTTAATTTCTGTTTGTAGGTTAGAAACCTTTAAATTTAAGGTTAAATGTCAAAACTTACATAACAAAATCACAAGTAATTTCACGACAATGTAAACTCCACAACTTGAATATTGACCATAGTGATCACTCCTAAGTAATCACTAGAAAATCATAAGGAATTTGTGTACAAAATTTATTAAGAAATCCCATAATGTACACCGACCTTACGCATGCTTAGAGTTTGTCGCATTGTTGATCTCTCCAAAAGTCCAAAAATTTGACGACGTCATTTAGACTTTGACAAACTTCTTGTACTTTGGCTATAAACTGCGCATGCGTATCTATTTTGTTTTAAATTTAACATTTTCAAATCTTCTCCGAAAATTAAATACAAGAAAATGTTTGGATAAAAAATAAGTATATCAGTCGGATAAACCAGAAGACTTTTACAAATGGTATGACACTGGCGATGATCAGTTGATCACTGAGAAACGATCTTGATAAATAGAAAAAGAAAATAAAAGATAGTTGATATACAGTGACCGGCAAAAAAATCGGGCATCCAATTTGAGAGATGTCTGCGAGATTTAACGGCATTGTTTTCGCTTGAAAACGTTTATTAACTGCCAAACTTATAATCACATGAAGAAAAACACTGTTTACAACAACCGCCTTCTTTATTGTTTTAATTAAGAAAATATCGTACTTGGTCTGTTTCTGTTATTTTGTTAAATTAAATTTAATTCTGCGTTTATAAGTCTTCTTTTTTTGCTAATTTGTACAAAATGTGTCAATAGTGAATGATTCCTTAATAAAATAACGACCACTAGTTAAATTAATAATTTTGAAAGTGGTTTTGTGAAATTTTTCACGGTGGCCGGTTTTTTTTTCCGGTCACTGTATAAATAGTTCCTATTTAAATTTGATATAGACAAGAATATAAAAACCCTGAATTTTTCCTGTAGAAATTAAATACTCGCTTCAAGGACCTTAGGTACCTACTTCCTATGTCACAGTCAAAATTATAACCCAACGCATACTATGTATGCTCAACTGCATTTTCACTGTTTGATTACAGGTGCTATTTCCGTTTACTTATGCTCTGTTTTTTTCCGGATAAGAGAAATTTGTTAATCCTGATAATAGCCGTATAATGCTATCTAATCTTGCAGAACTCATAAAATTGATAAAATAAATCCTCCAGCACTTGTTCCCGTGTCAGTTTGAGTTTAAATGTTACCCTGTTCAAAAGATGGGTCAGTCTAAAAGAAAGTCTAAACTTTTTCACTGGCAGTTCATAAACCAAAGTGACCAGGACATTATCAACAGTAAATGTTAAGTACTACAGAACTCTTAAAAACCACACTGCTAGAGTTCAAAACTTGGAAGGTTTGAGTATATCATCAAATGACAGTACAGTTTGTGAAGCCAGTCTTCAGCTTTTTCTGGGTGGTTCATTTTATATAACTCTTTCCTTTTCGAATGGAACTACCGACGAGTTTCGCATAAGTTTCTAAAGACTCAGTAGATTTTTCGTACTTGGAAGAATCTCATTGCGTAACTTGCTATCGTTCTAGGACGATAAAAGTTAGTATCAAAACTGCAAACAATCAAGAAGAACAAGATGATGAAAAAGCAAAAAGATTCAACACAGAAGGTGAAATCGCTATGCATTTTGCTTGCTAGCAAAAGTTGAAAACATCGTTAGCAAAAAAAAGTTGAAAATAATTTGTCATAATTCTGGCACAATCATTGCCATCTGCACGTTATTTATTATTCATTAAAAATTTAAGACAAAGTCGTTTATGGAAAGTAAAATGTGTTGCTTATTTAGACTTATCCAGGCATGAACAAATAAAATATGTATGTTATCATCAAAGTAGTGCAAGAAATTAACAGAATCCTCAATCGAAAATGACGAGTTCTGTATTAAACTTTATTATTACAGAAAAATTATACAAGAAGTGGGCTTTTTAAAACTAGATTTAGAAAAAAGATCTGTTGATTGTATTCTGTAAACCTTTACCGTAAGAAAAAGATAAGTATAGATTTATTTTTGATTATTTATTTGACTCACTTTATTTTTCAAATCCCAAGAGCTCACTAACTTCATTAATTTCAGATTAGAATATCAAAATATGAACATTCCACTTTTATCCCCGCTTGAATATATTCTATATATATATTTGCAATAAAATTACACACATTTATTGTTTATCTTTTCAGCCAGTAATTGTTTCATCCGCCTTCCAGTTCTTTTGGATGTAAGATTATATTTATTAATTTTTTATATCTAACAAATTTTTGTTTTTAGAATGAAAAAAAACTCTCTTTTCTTAATTCTGGTCTTTTTTACCACCATTTCAGCATGGAGTCGCGAAACACACCTGCTAATCCAAAACTTCTCAACCCAAGATATTACTACCACAGTGGTCACCGATATAGAATGTTTCGATTTTGAAAAAGGAAACGGCCCTTTAGAAAGATTCCAAAATGTTTCAATTCCGTCAAAGTCGTCGTTGGCGCGTCAGCTAGAAGTTAACCTAATAGCTAAGAATTGTCCCTTCACCATGACTTTATGGTTCTCTGATTTAACAAATGACCGGTTTAGAATTAACCAGAAGTATGCAATTAATAAAGCAACAGCGGATTTTTTGAGCGGTGGAAATCGCATAATTGAGTATATGAGAAGTAGAAACACGATTGTAGTAACAGTGAAAGATTAACTTGCATCAAATTAATACGAAAATTGTTTATTTCCAATAAAAACTACCATACAGGAATATTAACTGTTAGTATTATCATGCTGATGTTTCAGCCAGCACCTTTAAATTTTCCTTAATTACAACTCGGAATTCGTCTGTTTTTATTTCAAAGACTTTGACAAGTTCGTGGTAAACTTCCAACAATTTTTGATACTTTTCATTAGCTTCTAAGTCTTCTGTATTTTTCTGGGGATGTAACCGCAGAGCCATTTTTCTGTACTGTCGTCTAATATCAGCCAACGAAGCACCATACTTAAGATTTAACATTTTAAGTTGAGTTTTCTTCTTAATAATGTTGAAAGCGGAAGTCAAAATGTTTGTTGTAATTTCAGGACTTAAATATGGTAAAATGAGGTCCACTACATCAATTAAAGAAGCCACATCAAGACTACCGATTGCTTCTACAAGAACTTTCGTAAGACTTCGATTTATTTGTGGCACAATAGCTTTGATAACGTTCTTGAAGTATGTAGACGTTTCGATACCCAACAGTTTATCAATTTCTTCTTTAAAACTTGCTTCAGAAAAAGTTTCTACGATTTGTGTTGCAATTTCTTCAGTTAAATATGCTACAACAACATCCAAATCATTTTTTAAAGGAATATCGGGATCCAGACCTAAAATCTCGAACATGTTGTCCTTAAAACGTAACTCGTCCAGAATCTGCGTTGTTTGATTTACAATTTCTGGCGTTAGATAAGGTACGATAGCTTTCACAACTTTATCAAAGGCAGCATTAGGTCTAAGACCCAACATTTTATAAATATCTTTTTCATAAACAAATTTGTATATTTGTTTACTGAATTCTTGGTTCAATTGCAGTTCAATTGTTTTTACAAATGTAGACAAACCATGTTGAATGAAGATAGCTTTAAAGTCTTTACTGTCAAGCCATTTTGTAATTTCTTCTGTGAGGTGAGATGCGACAGCTTCCGTAGCTTGATTTAGAGCTGAACCCTCTTGAATACCACTTAAAATTGTTTTAATGTCGTCGTTAGAAGTTAGTTCAGAAATTTGATTTGTAATTTCTTGCAGCAAATGGGGCAAAATGTTTCCCATAACTGTGTTTAGTTTAGTCGGTTCAATATCTTTCTGAGTTATGTTGAAGGTTTCATTTGAGAATAAATCGGAGACTCTGCTCTGGGCAGCTTGAATTAGATAAGGCATCATATCTTCAATAGCTGCTTCTACAGAAATGCCTTCTCCTATAGTACTTAAGATTTGTCGAACATCATCGTTAGTTATTGCTTCAGATAATGAACTGGATACTTCAGATGTTATTGCTTTCGTAACATAAGGCACAATGGCTTCTAGTGTTTTATCTTCATTGTAAACAAATTTTGAAATTTCAGCTGTAATTTTCTGAGTTAGAACAGGTACCACATTTTCTATATAAGTTGCAAGATTTTCCTTAGTGACCAGATTTGGTGCTTGACCAATAATTTCTTTCAGAAGTTCGGGGGTAACAACCTCGAGAGCGCTGTGTCCAGAAGTGCTTAAAATGATTTTGAGAGTTTCATCAGTAACATCAACAACAGATTTTTTCAAAATGGGAAGGGCAACAGCTTTAACTTTCTTTAAAGAATCAGTTAATGATTCTTTACTAAGTTCAAACTCCTTCAAATCATGAATGTTTAATTTTTGAACTATTTCTTTCACATCTTTGTGATTTCTTAGAATATTCTTTAGCAAAGAGACTATATAATTTGCGAGTTTAATTGTAACTACGCTAACAATTTCATCAACGTTATTGAAGCAATGCCCTCCAGTAAGATTTTCTTCTAAATATGAACAAACATCCGCCGTGTATTTGGAAAAATCAATAATCCTTTTAAGGGGATCAAAGTCAGTGCTTGCAATATTCACAAGTGTTCTCTTTTTCTGAAGACTGATGATCGAATTTGCAATAATTGTAGCAGTATTAAGCATTTCAGTCCCCGTGGCAAATATTTCAACAGCGATCTGAATTTCATTAATTTCACAAGTTTGGAGTTTTACAACAACATTATCGTTAGTCTTTATCGAGTCACTCAAGATCTTGTTACAGTAATTCTTAATTTCTTGAATAGTTGCGTCTACCAGCGGTTGGAAAACTTCTTCTTCGATAACGGTTTGTGTTATTTCTTTCCACTTTTCTTTGTCAACAAGAGCACCAATAATTTTATCTTCATCTAAGAACTTCGTTAGATCTTCATTCTTCAACTCATATCCAATTTTCACCAAATTTAGTGTTTGATCACTGGTACTTTTCAATAAGAAGTACATTTCATCAGCAGCTTTAGAACACACTTCATCAAGAATTTGTTCCTCGTCATTGTCACAGTTACCTCCTGGAAGATTTTCTTCTAAATATGACGAAAACCCTTTGCAGTAATTACCAAAATCAATAGAGTTTTTAATGATGGTAAGAGTTGTGGACGCAGAGACTATTCCTTTGCTTTCGGCAAGGCCAGAAACTTTCGCGCTTATGGTATTAACTGCGTTGGAAGTCTCATCAGCTTTCATGAAAGTTTCAACAATTTTATCGATATCGTTAACTATCGTAATTCGTAGCTTTTCTAATAATTTGGAATTGCTGCGAATTGAATTATTCAGTGTTCGTTTGAAAGAGGATTTAATTTCTTCCACAGCTTTATCCATTAGAGGTTGCAAAATTTCTTCTCTTATAACAGTTTGTCCTATTTGTTTCCACTTTTCTTTGTCAGTCAAAGCAGCAACAATTTGATCCTTATTTAGAAGTTTTGTGAAGTCTTCATTCCTCGACTCGTAGACAATCTTTGAAACTTCTATAAAGTCTCTTCCTGTTTGTTTCAACAAAGAAAACATACGTTCAGTTGTTTTTGAACATATTTCTTCGAGGATCTCTTCAAAATTGTTATTACAGTCTCCACCCAAAAGATATTCATTCAAATATGAAGAAAGCTTGTTGATATAAATAGCAAAATCTATCGAATTAGTGACCATTGCCAGAGTTTTGGTCAAAGCTGTTATTGCTTTGTGTTGCCCCAATGTTGATAGTATCTGTATTATTTTTTTAGCTTCTTTGACACTTTCATCACCTTGTATGAAAACATCAAAAATTTTGTGTATTTCGTCTACTGATGCGGTCTCAAGCTTCTTCACTAAATTATGGTTGCTTCTGATCGACTCTTTTAAGTGATTTTCTAAAGAATCTTTAATTTCCTCAACAGCTTTATCCAACAGGGGTTGATATATTTCTTCTTTGACAATAGTTTGTCCGATTTGCTTCCACTGCTCTTTGTCAGATAAAGCAGCGATAATCTGGTCTTGGTTTAAAACTTTTGGCAAATCTTCATTTTTCAGTACATAACCAATCTTTGTTAATTCTATAACATTATTTCCTGCTTCTTTCAACAAGGAATACATTCCATAAGCTACTTTTGAACACACTTCTTCCTTCATTTCCTCGATCTTGTTATTACAGTCACCACCTGGAAGGTGTTGTTCCAAATATGGCACGCATTTATTAATGTAACTTGCAAACTCAACTGAATTTTTTACGATATCAACGGTTGTGGTGAGAGCTGTTATGGTTTTATGTTGAACAAGTCCAGAAATTTTTTCACTGAGGATTTTAACTTCATTGAGAGTTTCGTCACCTTTCATAAAATCGTCGACAGTCTTATTCATTTGGTCTCTAGACGTGGATTGAAGATTTTTGATTAAAATATTGTTGTCTTCGATAGATTTCTTCAAAGAATTCTTGAAAGATTCTTTAATTTCGTCAAGCATTACATCGATCAGAGGTTGTAATATTTCTTCTTTGATGACAGTTTGACCTATCTGTTTCCATTTTTCTTTGTCAGACAAAATGACAACAATTTGGTCCTTGTCTAAAATGTTTATTAATTCCTCATTTTTCACTTCGTAACCGATTTTTACAAGTTGCATTGAATGTTTGCCGGTATCTTTCAACAAAATATACATTTGATCGACAGTTATTGAACATATTTTATCAGTGATAACCTCCATGTTGTTATCAGAGTCGCCACCTTGGAGATGTTTCTCCAGATATGAAGAAAACTTGTCAATATAACCAGCAAAGTTTATCGAATTCTTGATGATGGTAAAAGTTGAAGTTAAAGCGGTCACAGCTTTGTTTTCTGTAAGTTTCGATAATTTCTCAGCAATTTTCTGTGCTGCATTTAGAGTTTCGTCACGGTTCAGAAAAATATAAATAACACCAAGAATTTGTTCCTCTGGTGTATTCTTCAGCTTATTTGTCAAAGTGCCGTTATTTAAAATTTTGTCCTTGAGTGTTTTTTCGAAAACACGTTTAACTTCCTCCTCTGCTTTATCAATTAAAGGTCGTAAAATTTCTTCATTGATAACGGTTTGCCCAATTTGTGTCCACTTTTCTTTATCAGTAAGAGCAGCAGCAATTTCATTTTTGTCAAACAGTTTGCTTAAATCTTCATTTCTTAACTTATACCCAATCATTGCGAGTTCGACTGTATCCTTTCCAGTGTCTTTCAACAAAGAACACATACGATCAGCAGCTTTTGTGCATAGTTCATTCGTAAGATCTTCAACATTATTGTCACAATCACCACCAGGAAGATGCTCGTTCAGATATGAAGACAACTTGTCGATATAACCAGCAAAATCAAATGAATTCTTGACGATTGCAAACGTTTTGGTTAAAGCAGTTATTGCTCTATGGTCTAAAAGACCGGAAATTTTGTAGCTGATGTTTTTAGCGATATTCAATGTTTCGTCACCTCTCATAAAATTGACGAAGTTGTCACTGATTTCATCAGTCTGAGTAGTTCGAATTTTTTTAACGAGATCTTGATTGTTGTTAATAGATTTTTTCAGTGTATCTCTAAACGAATTCTTTATCTCCTCGATGACTTTATCAATCAAAGGTTGAAAAACTTCTTCTCTGATGATATTTTTTGCTACAGTTTTCCAAGTTTCTTTGTTCGTTAAAGCAGACACGATTTCGTCCTTGTTCAAAAACGTCTTAAAATCTTCATCTTTGAGTTCGTATGTAATCTTTGCAAGTTGCACAGTACCTATACTTGAAGCTTTTAACAAATCATACATCTGATCTGCCGCTTTGGTGCAAATATTTTCGTTAATTTCGTTAAAGTTGTTTTCATTGTCACCACCATGCAGATGTTCCATCAAATGAGATGAAAACTTGTTAATGTAATTGGAAAAGTCGATAGAATTTTTGATAACCTCGAAAGCTGTCGTTAGAGCCGTTATTGCTTTATGTTGGATAAGATTCAAAAGTTTGAAACTTACTTGTTTCGCTATATTCAAAGTTTCGTCTCCTCTTATAAAGGCAGTTACGGCATCGTTAATCTCTCTAGTAGAACTAGAACGAAGTTTATCTACCAAATTTTCCTTATTTTTGATAGAATTTTTAAGTGTCTTTTTGAAAAAGTTTTTGATTTCTTCAATGATTTTGTCAATTAATGGTTGAAAAACTTCTTCCTTTATTAGCATTTGTCCAAAATCCTTCCATTTTTCTTTATCGGCAAGGGCATCAAAAATTCCGTCAGTGTTAAAAATGGTTTTTAAATCTTCGTCTTTCAGCTCACAACCAATTTTCCCAAGTTGTATGGTGTCTTTACCAGTTTCTTGCAGCAAAATGTACATTTGATCAGCAGCTTTAGAACAAATATCTTCAGTGATTTGTTCAATATTGTTTTCACAACCATTTCCTCGAAGATTTTCTCCCAAAAATAAAGAAAACTTTGTGAAATACTTGCTGAAATCAATGGAATTCTTGATAATATTGAAAGTTGTTGTTATTGCAGTAACTGTTTTGTTCTGTACAAGATTGAGGAGCTTGAAACTGATCTTTTTTGCCATGTTGAAAGTTTCGTCCCCTTTGATGAACGCATCTACAGTGTCATTAATTTGATCAACTGGAGTAGTTTTGAGTCGCTCGATCAAGCTTTTATTACTTCTGATAGATTTTTTTAATTCCTGTTTAAAGATGTTTTTAATTTCTTCTATAATTTTGTTTATCAAAGGTTGAAAAGCGCCTTCCTCTACCAAAATTTTTCCTATTTCTTTCCACGTGTCGATATTAGCAACAGTTTTCATAATTTCTTTGCTGTTAAAAATTTTCTTTAATTCTTCTTTATCCCACTCATAGCTCATTTTCACAATCTGTACATAACCTTTGCCTACATCTTTTAACAGTTTGCACAAATGATCGGCTACTTCTGAACAAATTTTTTCGATGATTCCGTCAAGATTATTGTTGCAGTCGCCACCTTCAAGGTTTTGTTCTAAATAAGAAGCACACGTGCTGATGTAAATGCCAAAGTCGACACTGTTTTTGATAATGTCGAAAATGGTGGTTAGCGCAGTTATAGCTTTATTCTTCATAACTCCCAAAATTTTGAAACCTATATTTTTCGCCATATTAAACGTAGCGTTTCCTTTAATGAAATTACTTAGAACGTTGCTAATGATGTCATATGGAGTACTCTCAAGTTTGGTTATTAGGTTCTTATTACTTCTAATAGAATTTTTGAGAGAATTCTTTAAAGATTCTCTAATTTGTTGAATACATTCATCTAAAGCTGCATTAAGTAAGGGCTCCAACAATTTATCTTGCAGTATTTGTGCCACTTTCTTTAATTTTTCTTTCTTCCGCTTCTTCTTTGTTGATTCCTCATTTTCTTCGTCATTATTGTTTGGTGTTCTATTTGAAGTTTCATCAGAGTCTTCATTTTGGTGAGGCTTTTTCTTTGGCTTGGAAGTATTTTCACTGTCGGATTCTTCATCTTTCAGTTTCCTGTTTGGCTTGGACAATGGATCATTTTCATCAACTTCCTTACTTTCGTCTGAGTTTTTCTTTTTTTTGGAAGAGTTCTCATCATCTTCGGATTCTTCATCGTCAAGTCTCTTTTTTTGATTGGGTAAGGCATTAGAATCATCATTTTCTTCACTTTCGTCAGATGTTTTCTTTATTTTGGAAGAGTTCTCATCATCATCGGATTCTTCATAGTCAAGTCTCTTTTTCTGATTGGATAAGGTATTAGAATCATCTTCACTCTGGTCAGATTGTTTCTTCGGAGCGGACGAGTCTCGATCATTTTCGGATTCTTCATCATCAACCCTCTTTTTTTGATTGGGGGAAGTATTAGAATCGTCATCTTCATCATTTTGACTCGGCTTTTTCTTCGTCGTGCTAGTACTGTCTTCATCTTCAGATACTTCCTTAATTTTTCTTGCAGGTTTTGACGAATGTTCAAGATCATCGTCTTCTTGAATTTGATCAGATTTTTTCTTTCTATTAGGTTCTTCATTATCGCTATCATTTTTCTTTGCATGTTTTGACGAAGTTTCTAAATCATCATCAGAATTATTTACATACTTTTTTGAACTCTGTTTAGCATCGTCATCACCATCATCATCAAAATCAATCTTTTTTCTACGTCTCGCAGTTCCTTCGTCCTCATCGTTTATATAATCTTCGATTTTCTTTTTGCCCCAGTCGATTCCCATTTTGATCAACTTGAAATTCCCTTTCATCACATCACAACATAAAGAAAACATTTGATCACTCAATCTTGTACATATGTCCTCCATTACCTCATCAACATCGTTATTACAATTCCCGCCGTTAAGTTTTCTGTTAAGAAAAACAGTAAGAGTTAGATTGTATCGTGAAAATTCCGCCAAATTGTAGATAATGTCAGTTGCTATGGTTAAAATATCAATAATCGGATTATCACAAAGACCTGCAAGCTCAATCCCCACCTCTTTCGCAGTCTTCAAAACTTCATTTTCTTGCATGAAATTGTCAATGACTCTATCAATCTCACTTCTTGGGGTTGAACGAATCTTGTTCATTAGGTTACTGTCTTTTGTAATAGAATTTTTGAGTGTGTCTTTAAAATGTTTTTTGATTGCATCTATAACCTCTTGCAGGATCTCATTCAGAATAGGTTTCACAACCAGTTCTTCTATAAGAGTGAATCCAACTTGTTTAGCAGTTTTCCAGGCAAACTCTCCAGTGTACCGTAACAGGACTTCTGATTTTCGTAGATTTTGTATTTTTGCAAGATTTTTCATTTTTTCCATACCACCCAACTTTTCAAACATTTGAGTATTCCCCGCGTTTCGCAGCTTCTGGAGCTCGTCTAGCTGATCAGCAGCACTTAGTTTGTTGAATTTGGCTACAGTAAGCATTTTCTGTAGTTTGTCACCAATTTTATCAACAAAATTTGCCAAATGTCTGCAGAGGTTTTTCAAATATTTACTCTTTCTCAAGAATGAAGATAGTTTTCGACAGAAACTAACTGCTTTTGATAGAATTTTTACAGATTGGGTGATGGCGCTTATCCCAAAACTTAACAAACTAACACCATACGAGATAAATTTCCCTTTCAAGAAGTCGGTGCTATCAAATTCGGTGGCTCCTTGTGTGATAATTTGCATGACGATATCGATTATTCCTTCAGAGATTAAAGTTCCAGCAATTGAACTCATGATTGGAAAAATAGGGAGGAAAGCTAGACCTGCGCACAGAGCAGCAATTCCTGCTATGATTTGCCCTATAGATGTATAGATAACTACATCTGGAACGTCATGAATTTCTTTTAGGGAATATAAAGCGTCAACACCAATCGATCGCAGCTCCGCAATTTCCCAACTCGTCAAACTATTCTTAACTTGGGGATCGTCGCTCATCTTGAGAAAGTTCTCCAGATTGGTTGGTGCCTTCCCATTTAAGTCTACACCTCCGCTAAGATTTTGCACCATTTTCAACAACTCTTCGATATTTCCATCATGCACTTTTAAACAAAAGAGTCTTGAATAAATGTGCTTCAAGAAAAGATTGTTGTCTTGTTGCTGCAAAATCCTTTCGAAATCGGGGTTCCCGTTCTTGAGGCAACTCTCGATGTAGTCGATTTCTTTCCTAATGGAAGCTCGTGCGTGATCTAAGTGTTTCTTAGCAGTTCGTCTGTACTCTTCGTTTTTTTGCACATCAACAAAGAAAATTTTTGCTACAGCCTTTTTAAACCTTTCACGAAGTTGGTCACCACTTTGAATAGCTAGTTCAAAGAGCTTCATATGGGCACCTGTTAGAAGTTCGTAGTTTTGTTCTCCACCCATCTCGATGGCATGGTTCAGGACACGAGTAGCCCCAGCTCTATCGTTTTTTTCCAAATAATGGTCTCCCAAACCCACACAGTAGTGAGGATTATGACTGATAGTGCCATCAATGATGGAACGCGCGTCATTCAGGAAGTTCTCGAATTCTTGTTGAGGCGTTGTGTTAGCGATCGTTTTAACTTTGAAGTTCTTCTTTTCAAGCCAAAAAGCCCAAAACTCTTTTAGATCTTGAAGAACGTATCGATAACTTTCTGTCATTTTTTCCTGTTTGAGGTTGCGGTGAAAGTCTGAGAAGTACTTGAACAGTTCATCTTTAAAGTCGAGTTCTTTGACTAACGTATCGTTGATTTCTTTTAGCCTGGAGCGTTCTAGTTTGTCACGTTCGAGTTTAATTTGGATGAAACTGGGAGTTTCATCTAGGATGTCGAGTTCGTCTACTTCACTCTGACGCAGGATGAGCTGGGCAGTACCATCATTGCCTAAAAAAGTAGATTAATTTTAAACTAAAACTAAAAAAATACTGACCTTGTCGGGAAGTCCTGCCGAAAGCTTGCCCTTCCACTCGTAAATTGCAAGGAAGAAAACCCACACACACATGAAGACCTCCATTCATTTCTAGACTGTTCTCAGTACGGAAGTTGGTACCACGTCCTGCAATGTTTGTAGCGAGAATCACATCACCAATCTTCACTTTCTTTGTTGTTTCTTCAGCGTTATCTTCATTCGCGTACTTTCTGATCGTAAATTTATCTTCATCTTCGAGAAGCTGCAGGTTTTCATTTACAGTAATTAGATCATGCTCGGTTTCACAAATCACCAACACAGCTCTGCCTTCGTCTACCTTTGCTAAAACCTCTAGAGTGACTTGTTCGGACCACGAATCATCGTCAACTACGATGCCTGGCAATTCGTGAAACTTCTTCATCTTGTAGGTTGGAATCTTCGCAAAGTCTATATTGTAAATGTGAGAAAGGAGCTCTTGCTCGGCTCTAGATCCTAAAGTACCCGTTAGTCCAAAAATGTTTTTGTCGTTGTAGTTTTTGATGTAGCCAATGTTCGAAATGAAGCTACTGGTTAAGCTTTCAAAGGTTAGGTAGAGGTTGTGCTTGAGTTGTACGAATTGGTGAAGACCATTCGACCAAATGGTATTTTTCATGGTCACTCCGGTATTAAGATAATCCACTGGAGTTATTACCCTTTCTCCGCTATCATCAGTGATAATTCTGTATTGTTGATGCTCATGGCAATTGTATTTAGCATGAAGAGCATTCTTAATCCAAGTATCTAATTTACTGGCGACATAGTCTTTCAGGTGAGCTGGTACCAAAGGAATATTTGTAGGATTAGAAGCCCGAATTTTGTCCTTGATGATTTTGCGTTCAGACTTAATCATATATTCTATAAACTCCGAATATTTTGCCCTCGCCTCCTCTTTGTTTGGGTAGTGAAGTAACTCTTTAATCTTCTCTTGACACTCCTTGACAAAGTTATTTTCAGCTTTACGCAGTTCTTGCCATATTTTGATATAGATGTACCTTAAGCACTCCATTCCAGGATATGGTGCTGCCAGTTTTGCAATATGGCCTCCATTATCCACCAACATGCTATCGACTTCATCCAAAACTACCTGTCCGAATTTTCTCTCGCTTCTAATATTAAAACCTTCGAATGAATCTTTTAAAAAGTCGAACTGGAAACTACTGATAGTACCGTAGAGAACATCAGCAGTGTAACAAGCCTTAGATTCTCCTGGATTATTCGTAGCAACTGTAAGACCAAAAGTAGAGTAAAACATTTTCGTTTCATCTACACCATCAGCTGCTAGAAGTGGATTGCTGGTGATAACGTCAACTGTAAGTCCCTGCAGGGCTTTGATAACTGCAAGCAATGAAACAATAACGGTTTTGCCTTCGCCAGTTTTGATTTGACATAAACGCCCTTTATTATTTTGTCCATGGAAGAAAATGAGCACTGCTAAAATCTGAGTGTCCCGGAGACGATGACCTCCTGTCAAGAGGTTAAGAACTCTGTCCATAATTGCGATTGTTTCGCAGACAGCAGCATCAGTAGTTTCCAGCTTGCCCTTGATTTGTTTGGCCCAGGTGTTGATAGAGTGAATATCGTGGCATTTCCATTTCTCGTACCTATTTTTGACGTCGTGGTATTTTGCTTCTATCTTTCGGATTTCCTCTTGAGATTGTTCATTAGGGGAAGAGTTTTCTTGGTCCATGCCCAAAGTAAGTTCTCTAAGAAGTTGGTCCAAGGGAGTGCAGTCATCAGGTGAAGATTCTTTCATCGGAGGAAGTTTTTGCGCGATGTCGGAGATATCACCAGGTAACATTTTTTGTATTTCTTCTTTTTGTTCCAAACTTGCTTTAAATTCGTACAAAGTTTTCATTTTATTGTAATCAATTCCAAGGATCTCGCTTATGTTTTCCAACGCTTTGTAAAGTTTATCGTCCACTTTAATATCGTCCAGAACTTCAAAAATATCGCTAAGTTTCTTCATTTCGTCTGGATATTTGTTCTGAATTTCAAGCTCATACTCTTTTAATTGTTCATCTTCTTGTTCTTTCGCATTTATTTTATAGTCGCCTTTAATTTTATCGACGCTTTCTTGCGTGAGATATTTCTCTCTAGCTTGTTGGATTCGTTTAAGATCCGCTTCTTCTTCCCCTTTTTCCAACTCCTCTTCCATAATTCTCTTATATTCCAACATCCCAGAACCAAGACCTAACGGAAGGTTGTCAACAAAATTTTTCAAGGCGTTTTTGAAATCTTCATTTTCTCCTAGCTCTTTCGTCAAAGAAGCCACCTTATCGAATTTCTCATTATTAAGTTCAAGCACTTGCGCAAACTTCACTTTCGGAAACTCCACAAATGTTTTCTCATCTTTCAAAAAATCCAACAAAATCTTCAAATTCCGCACGGTTAGGGGTCCATAGCTTTTCACATCGTCGTCCTTCTGATCCTTTTCACTTTGAGCAATAAACTCTACATCTCCAAACTTCTGCACAATTTTCTTTTCCAGTTTAAACGACACCAGCGCTCCACACGGATTTTTAAATAAAACAATCTTTTTGTCGTCTTTGCATATAATGCAAAACAGCACCCATCTCTTCTTGGGTTTGTTATATATAGTAAAAATGGGTTTGCCAGGTTCTAGTGTTGTATTGTCGAAACAGGTGTCAAAATTATCAATGTTGTCGACGAGACGAAACTGAGTGTCAAAGTCGTGATTGTACAGCGGGAGAAGTGCTTGAGCAACTTTGATTATATCTTCTTTTTCGTAAACTTTACCAGCCAGGAGTTTAGTGATCGTTTCAGCATCAGTTTCAATGGTTTTTGTGGACGATTTTTTGGCAAGTTCGTCAATTTCGCTGCGCTCCTTTTGGCGAGCTTTAGATTGGTGGCGCTGCATTTCCTGAAAAATTAAATTTTGTTAACAAAAGTGAGATTGGATGTGCTTGAAGTTGCGCGATATGTTTTGCTTATTTTTGTGTATTTATTGAGCTTAAATAAATTTGGTTAATGATCTACTACCTAGGATGATAATAATAATAATAATAATAATAATAATAATAATATATTTCGTGATAATCATTACAAAAAATGTTTCACATGTCCGTAAACTTATATTTAATAAACTCAGATGTAGAATAGAAAACGTTATTAATTAATAATTCTTTGACAACTTTACAAAATACATTCTCAGGTAACTCTTTTAATGACACTGGAAGTACATTAAATAGTGTAATACAATAATACCGTAGAGCTGTTCTTGTTCTCGTTAATCTTTGAAAATCTGTTTGTAGCCATTCTTTATATCTTGTTTGATGCTCATGGTCCAGGGATCTAAACTGATTTGGATTAGCTTTCACATATCTAAGACAAGCATAAATATAAACTGATGGTAGTGTCATAATACATAAATTTTTAAATGATACCCTACAGTCATCTCTATAATTTAACCCGGCTATAATGCGAATACATTTTCTTTGTATAGCAAATAATTTTAACAAATGATGAGAATGACCCCATACTAAAATTGCATATGATAAACAGTTATGAATATATCCAAAATAAGCTGCTCTTAATGTTTTTTCAGACACAACTAGTCGTAGCCTGCGAAGTGTGTAGATTCTTTTTGATACTGATTTGCTTAACTTAACAATATGTTGTTCAAAAGTCATTTTTTTATCCAATATTATCCCTAGCATATTAATTGTTTCCTCAACAGTATCCAGCTCTCGTAAAGAAAAATATAGTCTTTGAGTCTTACTCTCATTCCTACACAATTTATTGGACAAGAACCAAGTATTGATTTCATTCTCTGCTTGAGTAATTTCGTTTATTAATTTCTTTACATCCTGATTACTACCCGCTAGTGTCGTGTCGTCTGCAAACAAAATAAAGTTCGTCATGAAAGAACTGCTTGGTAAATCATTGATGAATATTAGGAATAGGATGGGACCCAAGACAGAACCTTGAGGAACACCATATCTTATTAATTGTCGTGTTGAGTTTACGTTTTTATAATTTACATACTGGTACCGATTTGTCAAATATGATTTTAACAATAATAGACTTGAACTATCGAATCCATAAAGTTCCAGTTTTTTTAACAGTAAATCATGTGCGACACATTCGAATGCTTTAGTTAGATCAAGGCATATTGCATAGGCATGTTCTTTCTTACTAAATGCGTTGAACACAATTTCCGCTACTTTATTTACTGCCATTGTAGTTGAGTGGTTCTTCCTAAATCCATACTGATTATGACAGTATAACATGTTTTGTTCAAAGTAATTATTTATTTGATTTTTGAGAATTATTTCAAATATTTTACTAATTGTTGGAATTATGGATATTGGACGATAATTTTTTAGATTATCCGTACCTTTTTTGAAAACAGGAATTATTTTTCCGAGTTTTAAAACATCCGGATATACACATTCTCGTAAGCATAGATTTATAAGCTTTGTTAGTGGAATTATGATTACATTAGTTAAAACTTTTATCATTTTTCCATTTATATCATAGGCGTCTTTACTATTACTATTTTTTATTAAAGAAATAATTTGTCTGAGATCATTAAATGTTATTTCCTTGAACTTAAACTGAGAAGTATTAACAACTGACATATAATTACAGGGATCAAAATTTGATTGAGGCAAGTCTTTTACAATGTTTCCCGGAGCATTAGTAAAATAATCTATAAAATCATTGGATGTCAAATCATTTGTGGGTGGTAATTGTACTGACTGGGGTTTAATGATATCCCATGCTGCTTTATGTTTGTTGTCAGCTTTTAATATAAAATTATCATGCGCTGTTTTTTTTGCTTTAGCCAACTCAGAACGGTATTTATTTCTGTAACTATTGAATTCTTGTTTTGATATTAGGTTTAAATTATAAAGTTCTTTTAAAAAATGTAACTTCTCTCGCATATTTTTAAGATTATTGTTAAACCATTGTATTTTCGGTCTGTTTAAATTGTTATAAGGTAATGTTTTTATGGGAAAGGAATTCTGAACCGTCATAACTAAGATATTATGGAACTTACTAAATTTCTCATTACAGTTCAAAGATATATCATCAATGAAAGACCAATCAGCCCTTTCAATTGAGTTGTATAAATTATACATGCCAGCCTTTGTGACTGGTCTGCATGATACTTTGCCTTTTATCAAGTTTGCAGTTTCTTGTAAAGAAAATGTAACACATATACCGCTATGGTCAGAGATAACTGGATCAAACACTACTGTCTCGTAACAATTTTTATGCATATTTGTGAACATATTGTCTAAGTTCGAATTAACTCTCGTTGGTTGAAATATAGTTTGTATTAAATTAAATGATGAAAGGCAATTTACCACTAGCTGTGTTTGACTATTTCTGCTATTATCAAAGTTAACATTGAAATCTCCAATCAAAATTATATTATTATTTTTTATTACATAGGATAACATTAGATTTAGATTCTCAATAAAAATATTCAGATCACCATCAGGTGATCGATATAAACATACAATAACCACATTTAAGATTTTTACTCCTGCAAATTCACAATGGATTTCTCTACTGTACTTGCTTAAATCTATTGGTATAAAAATATCCCTACAAGAATTCCTAACGTAAATGCTCACACCGCCATGTGTTTTAAGAACTCTACAAAATTTAGACACAATCGAGTAGTTTTCTATTTGCATATCATTACATTCAAGGTCATTTAACCAATGTTCACTACAACATAATATTTCTATAGGTTGAGAATCTTTCAAAAATGCCTCTAACTCTAATATTTTATTTCTTATACATTGCATATTCATGTAGAATAAATTAAGATAAAACTTCTTACCACGCATCATTTGTATATTTTCGGTATCGCCCCTTGGTGAAAATTTACATCATTTTCTTTAACATCAAAAGTATCAGTTACCTTATTCCTTTGAGTCATATTGTTAGAATCACTATTAAGTGAAGGCATACTTTTTTTATTGAAACTAAAATTAAATCTACGCACTACAATACCCTTCGGCCAGAAACTAGCTTCAAAAATATAATAACTCAAAGCATGTGATAAAATTCAGAGGAGCTGAATTTGCAGTTTCTAACAAAAATTTTCCAAAAATTTACACAAGCATGATTAAAAATATGCGTAGATTGGCAATAGTGTGGGTGTATAAATGCAAAATCCTCCAGTGCTTGGGCTTTCCATTCAATGCTGAGGGCGACGATTTCTACGAAAAACAATGTTGACATAACCCAATGCAAGGAGTTGATTGCATTTTTCAAAAAGGAGTTAGAAGGGTACAGACCCGACAAGTCAAAAATATTTACGAAAGGCCAGATTGGAAGGTTCCTGAAAGAAGCTGACGATAAGCAGTTTTTCCTTACTAAGGCCTAAAACGTCTTCAAATTATTTTAATTCATATTTTTCCGAGATTGCATGGATAATTTGCGTCGTTGGAGCTTGCAGAATAGAAGAGCTCACTAACTTGCTCCTACAAAATGTTGAGGATGAAGAATTAGTTTTCCCTATACAAATCCCGAGTAATAAAATTTAAATTTCCAGAGAAGTTTTCGTAACTGGCATCCATCCAGGGACTTGATATGGTGGAAATAATTAGGAAATATTTGGCATTACGTCCTCAGCATACGAGCCATGGAAGATTTTTTGTTGGATGCAGGAAAGGTTTTTGTACAATACAACCTGTGGACATTAATACGAAATTGTTAGATCCTAAAGAGTACACTGGGCATTGCTTCAGACGCTATTCCACTTTGATGCTTGCCATTGCCATGTAGGCTGGAAATCGAATATAGGGGCGGGGGGTACACTGATACATCAAAAGAAGTACATAGATCTTGAAGATCAAAATGAATTTCATTACACCACTAGTGAAATAATATTGAAGATTACATATAACAAATACGAGTCATAATAAAGTATTCTCATATAGGTCGCAGATAAAATAAATGACCTACTTTATTCATTAATTTTCCTAAGTCGCGCTGCATAAGCAATTGGAATTTACAAACTTTCTGGAATAAAAATTGAAATTACCGTGTTAGTCGTTTAAACATTAAAAATTTATATAGGGTTATTCAATTACGAGAAGCTCTTTAGCTAAAAAATTCAAAACGCAACCAATAATACAATGGTCGGTAGTTTTTGTTGTTTACTATAAGAGTGTTTTTAAGTAAACAAAGTTAGGTCTTTGGTCAATTTTAGGTTAAAACTTTGATTTTAGCCCAAAATTTACGTGTATTTCCAAATTATCAAAACCAACCGATTGAAGATCCAAACTCAAAACATGAAGGTGTCAGGGTGTCCCCTATAGGGTTAATGCAGCAGATGCCAAAATTATGTCATATTTCGTTCTAATTCGAGTGAAATGTCAATTTTAGCATGGTAATATTTGACATTACGTCAATGTTGTTGTAACAAAACAGATAGGGGAGAGTTGTGTAATTTGAACCGCCTCCTAATTTGCAATTTCCAAATCATTTTAGCTAATTGGGCATATATAAGTGACATCTGTTGGTGTTGGTGCCTCTGGCGGGGAACATGTTTCACCCCTCTCCACCCGTAAGGGTGGGAGCCAGAGCCACCCCCACTTGGGAACACAAGGTAGGTAGCATTCATTCATCATTTTTAACTCATTCATTTAAAATTCATTACTCATAGAATACAGACTCTGCATTCATTTTTCTCAATCGGACGGTCACATTCTATTCTAATATTCATATCACTCATTAGGCCCAATTCTGAATCAAACCTGTTAAAATTTAAAGGTTGTTAAAAAATAAACAGCCAATCAGATTTAGGGATTTAACTCGTTACTATGGAAATTTGCAATTTAACACCCTTTAAATTTAACAACTTTGATTCAGAATTGCCCCTATATCTATCAAATA